AAGGTGCTATTCCCAGAGTGATTTGAAGCATCCCTTCTAAGAATAACCGAAGCCCATGTAGATAGCAATTTCATATTTATTAAAAAGCCTCTTTATCCTTGTCTACAAACAGCAATACTTCTAATGTCTGCCCCAAACCATCCAATGGCACTCCATTTGCTATGGGGGAAATCCAAAACCTTGAGCAAGTCTTGAACAATCCGGCCCCAGGACTTTTATGGTATCATCTCTTGCTACTGCCCTCTCATCATAGTCTCATCATTCTTTCATCTTGCTCTTCCTTCCATTTCTCTGGGCCTGGGCACACCATTTCTCCTTCAGGCAAACCCCCACTGGTTCTATAAGACCCAGTTTAACTGGAAACATCAGCAACACTTTCCCTGACCCTCCAAGCCACAGGTGGGCCCTCCCTAATCTGTGACCCCCACAGAGCCTTGCACATACATTTTTCTTTCAAATAGCACTTATCACATAATATTTTAATTACTTATTTACTTAAGCCCTTCCCAAAGATTGGGTAGCTCCTAAGACAGTAAGGGTAGAAGTGGAATGAGAGATGGTTATCAAAATCATAGGTTGCCTGGGAACAGTGTACCTAGAAGCTTATTCAATGTTAAATTTGGTAAAGGACAAAATTTATATATTGTTTTCAGCTTGTAAAACCAAGTTCAGAAAGTTCAGCTCATCAAAGTCTTGGATGAACATGACATCTGAAAGGTTCTCATCATATAAGGAACTAGGGCTAGATCTTTATGTCTTCTTGAAGGCACCTTGAAGTAAATAAATGCTAAAGACAGGTGTTATTCATTGTTCATTCCTGATATAGACTCGGTACTAAAATTCTTACTAAATTTAAATGTTAAACAAAATTTTTAGATACTGTCTTTATGAAACAAGTCATATCTTCCAAAAATGTATTCTAGTTTCTGAACAGTTTTATTTGGGCATAAAGACAGTTACCCAAACTTTCTCAAGAGCTTAAATAAGATCTGTATACAAAAGAGAAAAAAATGCATAACACAAATATTTAAGTTCATTTATAAAGAGTAAAGACATATTATCATTACATGAAATATCTTCCATAATCCAACCCCCACCACCACCACCACCACCACCTCAAAACAACATGGTTATGGCTTTGAACTCTTATGCTCTTGATTGGTATGTGTCATTTAGGCAAACCAGAAGCCACAAAAAATTTTGGTTCTAAGTCACTTTGTTTTATATTTGAAAGATATCAGAGGTAATGCTTATACTACATCAGATACAGATAGTGCTATCTGGAAATACTAAAATACTCTATCACATTCCTGGGTTTATAATGAAGAACAACTAACTTAAACCATAACTGTTGTTCTCCTAGCTGATGTTTTTAATATAATATTAAGTGCCATCCAGCAACTAGTTAAATAATATTATGATGAATCTCAAGGAAAATTGAAATACTTTAATAGAAAGAAACTAGTTAACCATTGGAGAAAATATTCATTTGACTTTATGTACCATGGTATTTGTGTTAATGAGACTTGCTTATACTCTAGTACAACTACACTTTTTAATACACTTTTATCTGTGAACAAAACAGATAAAAATTCTCAGCCTTCACAGAACTTAAATTCTAGTGGGAGGAATAGACAATGCCCCTAACAATGAATCTAATAAGTTAATATATAAAGAGTTTTATTGTAACCCTGGTCAGGTGACTCAATTGGTTGGATTGTTGTCCTGTACACCAAAAGTTTAAGAATTCGATTCCTGGTCAGGGCACATACCTAGGATGAGAATTTGATTCTCGGTCAGGGAGCATATAGGAGGCTACCGATACATGTTTCTCTCTCACATCAATGTTTCGCCCTCTCTCTCCCTTTCTCTTTTTCTCTAATTGATAAACATATCTGCGGGTGAGAATTAAAATAAAAAACATTTTTCATTGTAAAATTAAGTTTAAATTTGTAATACTGATGGTCTGGTCCTTTGTGGATACAAGTACTGTCACTTAACACTGGATCGACACTGTGAAAAACGGTTTACTTTTTACAACTAATATGAAATAAGTTTTATAATATGAATCATGCTTCTGCGATTAACTATTTTTCATATTTTCTCTTTAAACTAGTGTCCCATGAGGCCCATCCTTTAATTTCAGTGCCCTGCTCTTCCATTCAAATGGAATGCATCTCCCAGGCTCTGAAAGCCATGCATACATTATTTTGATCAAGCATTATATTAAGGGCTGGAGATACAAAGATGCTTAATACACAGTCTTTACCCCTGAAGAGTTAACTATCCAGTAGGAGAAGGACGAAGGATGACCGAGGTTTATGAGTGTATAATTGAAGTATGCACAGCATCTGGGTGCTTTCTGAGGAAGGGATGGCTACCTCCGCCTAGAGAAGGCTGCTTGGAGTGCTGCGGAGTCTGGGAGAATAGGTAAATGCATAAAGGCAGAAAGACCCAGTGGTTCCTACGTACCAGAAGAGCAGTCAGGGAGGAAGGGATCCTAAGGGGCTAGGATTAGTGGAGGCTATAAATGCATAGATGCCATCACTAGGAGCTACATCCCTCATGAGAAAAAAATGGAAAGCAGCAAGATAGAGTGGCTTATTACCAGACTTAAGCTAGAGCATTGGGCACACCAAAAATGGTGACTGGACCTCAAGGCACAGGTTAACTGAAGGGAAAGTACCTGAAAAAGGCAAGGAGACCAAGCAGCAAATGAGGACAATGCTAATAATGTAAACCAGATCCAAATAGTGCTCATGTTCTCTTGGCAGACCTCTCCACTTTCCACTGGACGTGTTACCAACCAGTCATCTGGGATTAACAGTAGACTCCTCCATTCACATCTCACCCCAGTAACATTCCCAAACCAAACACAGGGAAAGTGCAACTTTGTGTGCCCTTTATATGTGTGCACAAGCTGGATGAAATAGTGAAACTTCCACCCCAACCCATGTTAAATATCCATAAAATGATATCTCAGAATTCCTATAGTACTCTTTATCACCACAGTCACTATTCCCTGGCATTAGAATATCCATAGTAAGAAGATGCTACACTGTGGGATCATTCTATGCATTTTATATAGCATACTGTGGTAATCGATCATCGATCTCCCCAGCAAGTACTGAGAACTTCTCAGGGGCAGGAGCTAATAGTAGTAACAAATGAATGATTTAAACCACCAAAATTTTCCCCTATAGTTCCAAGCTAGTATAACAAAAAGAAAACACATTAACTGTTGCTATTTTTCATTCAAAATGACAACAGCGTGAAGGCTATTCAATGAGTTTCTCACAAGCACAAAGTCCATAATCCTCCATACAGACACACAAAATCAAATGCTAGAATCAGAGGAGAGCAATTTTTTTCATTTTATTTTTTAAATATACGCCAGAAAATACGGTACGTAGTTTTCCACTCCCAGGAATTTGCTGAGTAAATGTGGTAGTGCCAATTCAGAGTCATCTCCCCACTTCCCAACACACACACACACACACACACACACACACACACACACAGCACTGAAAGGAAGAAACATCATAACTCAAAATATTGGGGAGGGAGAAGGGAATATTTCTGCAAAACTTTAAGAACTTGCTTTAAACCCTCATATCCTCAAATGACCACATAATATGCATTTTCCTGGCCAAGGCCAAATCTAACATTAGATAAAAATGAAAGTGAAATTTTTCTTTAAAAAGAAAAAGACCAACATTATTAAGTCAAAAAGTAAATAATCACTTACATCAGAATCTAATACTCTGGGCTACTGAGGCATGCTTGAGAACAGCTGTTCACATGTAATCTCACAAAGTAGCTGGATTGTACTTCCTTCCTAAGGTCTTTCCTCTAATAACCCGATTACAGATGCTATCCTTGGTGAAGAAGAGAGTTAATTTTACTGATTAAAAAAAATAATAAAACTTGTGTAGAGAAACACAAAAGTAGCAGTCTGTACCGACAGTAATTGAGCAAAAAGACTCAAAAAGTCAGCTCCCCTTCCCGTTCCACCCCTCCAACACAAGTGGTGAGAGGGTGTGTGGGCTTGAGGGGTGAGGCAAGGGAGGTTGTCTTTTCTTGATGAGAGGAAGAAGAAAGTACAGAGACAAATACACCAGAGAACTACTCTTTCTGGAATTCATAGAGGGTCTGGCCTTTTATCCCCAAGACTGGGGACCCGGGTTTTGTCAAGGGCGCCTCCCCGCTGTCCTGCCCTGGGCTGCTCCACATGAGCAGAGAGAGACAGGAGGCAGGCCCCTCTGACACCTACTTAACGAAGGCAGATGGAGAGGAGAGTGTGTGGATGCCTTAACTTCCCCCTCAGGAGGCGCCCAGCAGGAGCCCACAGAGCCTGCAGCTCCAAAATCAGATTTCCACACATCCTCCCACCACAGAACACGCTTACCGCTCGGCAGGAGGAAATGGAGCATTAAGCAAGTGTGGCCCTGGTGGTTGAAGGGGGTTAGAAGACCTAAAGAAGCCTTCTTAGAGGATTTGGCCCTTTCTTCAAACCTCTCCAGAAGTAGCCAAGTTGGGAAACAGTCTCTCTCACTCAATGACCCCATGGGGGCAAGGGTGTTACTTTGAGGAGGACACAATCAGTGTCTGCGAGACGTCTGAGTCACAGACACATACTTTATTAATAAGCTTACATACACAAAATGTCCAAGGGAAAGCCTCACAGGCTGACTTCTGACAGCTCCAGATAACAGCAGGGGGAACTGAAGCCATGCTGGCTCTGCGGCTTCCACGTACTCCTCAGAAGCGATGGTCCCTTTCCCACCCCAGGGATGTGAGACAAATAAATAAATACAATTATCTGCAGAAATTAAAGTGCAAGGATAACACTGTCAAGTCCTTCCCCCCAAGTGCAGTGACTTGTGGGAAACAGATAGGAAAATAAAAAGAACAGCTGGAAAATTTAATTACAGAATAACAACTCAAGAGCTGACATTGTTTCGCAGAACTAGCCAATAGCCACAGCCCCTCTCCCTTACCTTAAGATACAGAAGCAGCTCTTAGCTCCTGAAGATAAGCGGCAGAATCCGAATCTCTGTTTGCTGTCAATGTCAGTGAGCACGAACGTGAAGTTCTGGCCAACTTGGCTAACTGTGAGGCTGCGGCAAAGACAGAACAAAGGGGAAAATGAATGTGCAGTAAGTTTCTTGATAAAGTATCTAATCATGACAAGTCGTTGAACCTGTAACATTTCCTCTCTCAGTGGAACTCTTTATAAATGAACTGAAAATTTACACACTTCAAGGAACAGATTGTAAGCTAGTAAAAAAAAAAAAAGGGAGGGGGGCAAGCAGCACATTCTGGTGACCACCTACCTCATCGGAGCTACCGCCATGGCTTCTACTACTTACTGAGTGCAGGCAGGTAGCACTGTTAATCATCCCATCAGATCCGAAAGGGGCCTTCCATTACCCTCACATTGTACACAAGGAAACAAAATGTTTTAAAATCCACTTCGAAAAATAAGTTTACCAGTTAGCTTGGATTCCTCCTTAAAAATTTAAATATTCCAAATTCTAATACATAAATTTGTGCTAATATGGTATTTTAGAATTTGACATTAAAATTTTCAAAGGAACTCATTAACTCTTAGTATACATGTTGCGTTTTACAAAATATATTCAAATTGATCATATATTCAAGTAGATGCTCTCAGCTATAATTTACTTTTTACTGTGAATGGAATAAAAAAGTCATGGTTCACCAGGCCTTTTCCAAAGACAGACTTTTTGAGTCTTAGGATACAATATAAATTAAGTTTTTAAATATAGATACCGAGGCTTTCCTTTTGAAAATTCCCTCACATAAGCTGCATAAGAAAATTAAAGAAGTTTTCAAGGTGTCTCAGCACAAAAGGTCAGTGGACCCTAACTGGTGGTCATATGTAAGGAAACAATCCTGTCCCTTGGAAAGTGGTTAGAGAGTATAAGAAAATAATTCAGGAAGGAAATGCTCCCCTCTCCTTTTTTAGCTAGGAAGGTGAACGAAAACAAGGTGGCAATTTAAAAGCAACTTGGTAATAAAACAGGTGTAAGTAATGCTATCCCTCCACCTTACACAGCCAGGAGAAGGAACACATTTCTATAAAAGTTATAGAGCTGTCAAGGGGACACCAAATGCTACCCTCTTATGGCTGTTATGTTTTATCTATAAAGCTTGGATACTGTGTTACTATGGTGACTTAATACTATGTTTTAAAAGGGGATTATATGATTAATTTTAACAAGGTTGAGAACTGAAGATGTGTGAGAAACAGGATTCTAGCTCACATAATTAAAGTGATTGGGGGGAAACGTGGGCCTCATTGGGGGAGGAGAAAAATCTGTATTATTAAAATATTTAAAGCAACAGGTCAGGATGATTCTAAGTTACAAATAAGGTCACACTTATGAAATACTCTTATGTGGTTTTATAAAATATGACTGTTATTTTAATTCAGAGTTTGATTTCACATCCACAGTGTTTACAGTGAAGCATCCTAGAAGGAAAGGATAGTGATAGGACTGAATGAGAAGAAAAGACCCAGGCGCTCTAGGAAAAGGACAGAGAACAAACACAGCTTGGTTGGTGAGTTGAGTGTCATTAATTTTCCTATTATCTTTTCACTAACATTAAAAATGCTGAAAATGCTTTTAGCTACCTCATAGGCTCAAAGAAAGATTCATTACTCATTTACTTGGTTCAAATCCCAACTCAATCACTTGCTAACTAAGACTTAATTTAGCAAGTTACTTAACCTCTAAGTACCTCAGTTTCTTCGCCAGGAATAACAATGAGAAACTACCACACAACCCAAAGGATGTTTGGGAAACAAGTGAAATAAGCATTTAGTGTAAAGGCCAGTCCATAGTAAGGATAATTAATAAAAGAAATGCAAGCTGTTACGTTACCATCTGAATGAAAACTAACATTCATATTAAAACCATGCCTTTGCTTAGAATCTTCCTGACTCAGCTTTGTAGTACTTGTGAGTAGATAAAAGAAAGCTGCCTTTCTTTCTCTCTGGTAGCCTCTTTTCAGTAAAGGGTAGACCTCCAGATGACAGAGTGAGCAGTTCTCACTTGCATTAAAGTGAACAAGATTCTCCAGGCCATGGAGGCTCAGTTGGTTGGAACATTATCCCATGCACTGAAAGGTCGATGGTTCAATTCCTAGTCAGGGCACATGCCTCCGCTGCCGGTTCAATCTCTGAGTAGGGCACCTACTGAAAGCAGCAGATTGGTGTTTCTCTCTCTCTGTCTCTCTAAGTGTGTCCTCAGGTAAGGATAAAAAAAATAATAATAGAGTGAATAAGATTCTTTTTGGTGTGTCTCCTAAGAAGGAGGCTCTTATTCACAGTTGAGTCACATTTTTTTAATTCCTACTAGGGTGAGGAAAAAGTTATTAAAAGCCCCTAACCATGAAACAAAAAAATATTTTTCCTTGGACAATTTCAAAAAGTCACACAAAGGCAGTCAAACGGAGGTTAACTTGAAGGTTCTGAATCCCCACAGAATGTGTCATTCCTACAATGAGACAGACTAATCTCTTTTTTCCCATAAAAATGGCTGAGAAAAGGGTCTGCTTCCTTAAAGGCTGCAGTTCCTATGACTGCCTCTGGATCAGAGTCCACAGAAACCAGATTTCAGGATAGTTAAAACTGGGAGGAACCAAAGAAGCCATCTTATCCAATCCTCTTGTTTTGTAGCTGGGAAAACTGAGGCTCAGGATTATTTGGGGGGCTCTGTTTGTTTTTACAAAGTAATCAGGACTAAAAGGAAAATCCAAGCCAAATTCTGCTTCAAAGTCCTTTCCATTCCTCCTCACTGCACTAAACACAATGAAAACTCTCCCCCAGAAGCTTTCAGCTCAGTTGAAGGAACTTTGATACATAAGAAAGTCAGATAGTTGTCTCACCAAACAGACTATACTTCCCACTAAACAATATTTTGAGTATTTCCAAAACTGAGCCCAGAAAACAGGGCAAGACCATCCTTACCTGTGCTTCCCATGCCTAGATGAATATGGAAAAGGCAGAAAAGCAATGACTATCTGAACCACAAACTTGAACTTCCTGCTGCCTTGTAAATGTCTGTTAGCTATTTAAGTTTCCTATTGCAACTTTCTGTTTAACCTTAAGGTTGTTTACAGGTTCAGTGTATAGGCATGAAGCATGTGGATAGGACAGTTTGAGTGCAATCTTTCTGTGAGAAATGGGATTTTCCATATCAGCCTCACTTAAGTTTGTCATCTTCCTGAGCAACTAACTACTATCCTGACCACTGCAACAAATACTGGATATACAACATCCATCCCACTGTGGCACTTCCTGTCCAGTTGGAGAGGAGTAATAAACAAGTGTATCACAAAGCACACAGCTTGTCAGTGTTGCATGAAACCAAAGAAGGAACAAGGACAGAAGATGGAAGTGAAGGGAGGGCCCTACTGTACTGAGATAATGCGGTCAGAGACAGCATCTCAGTGATGATATTAATACTAACCTGAAGGATGAGCTGAGCAGCCAATCCAGAAGCAGCAGATTGGGTATTTCAGACAGAGAAAAGAACTGTGCAAAGATCCTCGGGCTAGAAAGAGCTAGGCATGTTCAAGAAACTAAAAGAACACCAGTACAGCAAATAATAATTTTTTTTTTTAGAGTGAACAGAGATCTCAACAATGTCATTTCAATACTCCTCTCCACCAAGAGCTTCAAGTTCAGTGTAGGGGAGAAATAACTTTGTATTGGAAACAAGACTGTCTGCTTCTTCCCCAGCTCTGAATTACATGGTAATGACCATAAGCAAGTCATTCCACCTCTACAGATCTTGGTTTGCCTGCTGTAAGAGGGGATGCTTGAACCAAATGAATTTCAGCTTTAGAATCCTGTGGTCTGATTCTCACATATATTCAAGGCCTCTGGTAGCCAGAGCACAAGCTATTACAGTACACGTCACTCTCTCCCTAGCAGGCCCCATCTGCTCTGGCTGAACAATCTTTAGGCTCACTCATGGTTTCTCCTCTGCTTTGCTCTTCAGTGCATATGGGGTGTTAGGCTCTCCCTTCCACCTACCCTTTCTTGTCCTCCCTGTAGACTCAACACAAGTCTCCCCCACTATAAGCAGCTCTCTCCATTTCAGTCTTCCCTAACTGCACTATCCTTTTGGATAGATATAGCTAAATGTGTCTTTCTAATACTTCCTGAATTAGGCTGAGAAACACATGAAGGGCAGAGCTCCAAGTCATAACATTTCCTTATCGCCCAACATAAGGCTACACATTCAGAACCTTCCTTTCCTCTTTTGTAAAAGAGATAGCACCATCACCTACCTCCTAAAGTTGCTGGGAAGAATAAATGAGGTTTAATGTGAAAACGTCCCGCACGTTGACAAGAATCAATTAGGAACTCAATTGCTTTCTTTGTCTTTCTCTACACACACACACACACACACACACACACACACACACTTGGTGACTGTGGTCTTCTCACAAGGTATTCTGCTGAAAAATGTATTCTTTTGGGAGATGAACATCCAGGTTGGGCTAGCTGCCTAAGAAGACCTGGGGCAAGTCACAATTTCTTTACAACTTAGATTTTGTTCAAATGAAGATAAACAGTACTTGTTCTCATCTCTTATGATAGGGAGATAAAATGATATGATACATGAGGAAGCACTTTCTTTTGAAGAGCTACTGGCATTATTATTTTTCATAAGTCCTTGTTTCAGAAAGAAAAATCTTAAAACAAAACAAGAGACAGCAAGATGTCAGTGTTAAAGGGTGATTTGATGATGACTGTAAAAATGCCACTCTTGGTATAGACTAGAAATGTCAGAAAGTTGTATTACTGTTCCTTGGGGTAGAAAAGCACAGATACCAAAAAGATTAGGTAGCTTTCTTTTTTTAACATAATCACCTGGGGCATTACTCATCTCCCATGCTGACATTTTCGAAGTCAAACAATATCATAAATATATTTAAGGGGCTTTTTGGGCCTCAGAGACTGGGCATATCCATTTGTCAGTGTTAACTGCAAACTAATAAAAAAAAAAAAAAGTGACATTAAAACCTTTGTATTTACTAGTATTATAAACAAACTTCATGATTATTCTCTTCTGCATTAAAGTATGTTAAGGTTAGATACAGGAAAAAAGAAGATAAAAATATGTTCTCCAAAATAAAGTGTTTTTTGTATCAATAAAAGTTATCAACACAAGAAAGAACCACTATACATGGCAAGGATGACAAGGATTAAAATATATCCATAGAAGGGCAATTCTGTCCCAAATCTTTTTGTGAAAAAATACGGGAATCATGATTAGAAGAGAGTAATATGAAGAGAAGCTTATTAGAAGAAAAATATTTTTCTAACAATAGCAATAAAAGGTATCAGACTTTGGTGGCAAAAAAATATTTTAAAACTAAAATTTAAGCTCCTGTTTTTCTTCCATTTCAGAATGGAATCACCCAGACAGGTGGGTAAGTAGAGCTGTATGGTGTGATGAGAGGGGGGTGGGAGGTTGGAGAACGCACATTGGGAGAGATTTAATCTCTTTGCAAATTTCTTCTGTTAGCTTACAAAGTCAATTAAGGAATACCTATCCAAAACAGATCATCATTCTAATAAGCTATCATGTAAAAATGCATTCCCTTATTTTTCTGTGTTAACTACATTTTAAAAACATTTCAACTTTATTAATTTGTATAAATATGCCCTTGCCATAATTTGTAATACATTTTATAAGTGACTGGAGATTTCATGCATCGCTAATTCATACATATAAATGTGAAGTTTGCATTAAACGTGTCTAAACAAAACCTTGCTTGCTATTTTTAGTAAGATAAAGAAGAGATAAGAGGACTCTCATTACAAAGACTGACCCTCTTAAAATTAAGACTATTCTGTTTTGAACATCAACCTGCTACTAAAACAGTCCTGGTACCATGTTTTAAAAAGGCCCAAGTCTGGAAATACTACAGTGGTAGATTGGCTTAAAAAATAACACATGAGAACCAGGGAAAACAGTGATTATAAGTGGTTGGCATCATTCCAGAGCTGATTTTTAGAACTCTTTTTGCTTCCTAGTGCTCTTTTAAACTCCTTTGGCTACTAGTTCCCATCTCACAACATTTTTAGGTTTATGCCAAATAAACAAGAACACTGCTGCTACAAAGTGCAGACAAGACCCAAGCAGCAAACTACCCATGTGTACTCTAGGTTACCCAAGTCTTTCGAGGCCTGCCTTATTTGGCAATAGTAAAACACATATTAGAACCTTCCTGAAAATGGGCAAACTTTATAGCATTTTTGGAACATATTATGGCACTTACTACTTATAATGATATTTACAAAAACCTATCACTAAAAGTGAAATTTTTAAGATATAACATTTGTATAGTCTCATACTATAATTTTCTAATTAACAGAAAATCACAAACAGCAATCAAGTGGACAAGTGATTGCAAAAATTGCTTAAACATAATAAAAACATAACAGACATTTCTTGAAAATAAGATTTAGAGGACTGTTTTGTTATTTTTAAAATTTGTATAAATATGTTGTTAATAAATTATAGTATTATAAGTAAGAGGAAAAAACTCCTCTAAAATTGTTTTCAATAAGACATTTAAAAATTAGCTTCTTTTACAAATAAGCTATTAACCATGGCTCATTTTTTTTAAAACCTTTAGATTGTTTTAATTATCTTCAAGCTCTAATATTCATTCATACCTCTCCAAGATATAGTTTGTCATAATGCATATGCTAAAGAAATATTTAGGTAATTTTGGTTTTTTTAGTCTAAAAATCTATAGGCAATGCTTATTTCTTTAAAGATACCATTCTTAGCACACCTAAACAAAATGCAAGACTATATTTAGCAGTGTATCTTTTAAATAGCGGAATACACTTTAAAAAGATAGGCCTATGCCAATTTAAATTTTATCTTGAAGTCTAAAAGAAAAAACAGTCTATATAATATTTACAAGTCCATGGAGTCACATATTACTTAATATTACTTGGTAAAGTAAAATATATTCATATTTAAATTAAAACCCAACCATTCTTAATCACAGTTTGAGTCTGATAACCAAAATCAAAAGTTTAATGTCATGCAAACTACATACAAACTAATGCAAAGCTCTAAGCTTTAAACTTTTTGACAATGTCAATAAAATCCCCAGGAAAGGAGACTACTGCAACTTTCCTTAAAACATAGGCATTTTAAATCATGGATAAGCAGACAGAATGTTAAGAATGGTGTGGTTTTTATTTTCCATAGCAGGTTTATTGACGCTTTTTCTCTAGTAAAGTTTGAAAATCTGACACTACCTGTCCACATAGAAGGGGAAACAAAACTTGGTCAAAGTCTGTAGAACTTCCTGTGGAGAGAAAAAGAGATAATTTATACATCCAATGGGACCAATAAATCTAACATTAACCATGGCACACAATCTAGCAACTTTACCCTAAAGAAAGAGGAGACAGATGAAGAAATATGGGCTTTATCAATTACATGGGAGGAGTACCAGGCAGTCAATCATGAGAAATAATAAACATGATCAAACTTCATTAAAAATGAAAAATTAATCAAGAATCACACATGGGCAAGCAGCAGGAGTCATGCAGGAAAGCTCTGAAGGGAGGGAGGCGATTGGGTTGCTGAGTGTTAACACCCCTCCAGGGACCATCTCCAGCCTGACCATATGGATCAGAGTGAATAACACCAAGCCACATGGGTTTGGCCTGGCAGGGCCGCTGTTGCTGGCACCGTTTTTTTGCCTGTTACCTAGGAACAGAGGGGGCTGGGATTAGACAACGCTTTTCAATATCAATAGGCCAAAGCACAAGCAGAATAGAAAGCCAACTTGAAAATAATTGTCTCTGAACATTGTCAACTATATTTTTTAGAGCGTAAAACTTCATTTTATTACTTTATAAAGAAGTTGTGATTTCTGGCATAAATATATTTTGTAGCCAAACTGTAACAATTTTAAGTATGTACCATTTTTAGTTAAATGCCATCATAATTGGACACACTTACCTGCTTGTAATATGTGAAAATTCAAAGCACACTACTAGTTTAAATATCTTTTAATAAATATGTAGGTACATAAAACCAAGCATGTTATTCAAGGGAAGTATACAAAAAAGGAAAAAAGCAGAGTAACATTTCAAAGACTTACTTACAAAAGAAAGCTTCTTATATTAAGAAAAGCACATTACTGTATGAGACATAATACACAGTAGGGTGTGACTTTTCCCAATGGACACATTTCATCTACACAGCATCTATATACATAACTAAACATATAGACAAGTAATTAATTATTACTTCCTTCATAGAATTTTCTCTAGCTTGTCTTAATTTAACTGCAGACTTAGCCCAGAGTTGGTGCTTAAGTTCACTGACCAATATTATAAATTTTTAAAAAGTATTTCTTTCATGTATTTGATTTGCTTTTTAACTATTCAAAACTCCAACTTTGAGACAAAATGAAGAACATAATTTTCAGTCATTGAGAAGTTGGTTCAAATTAAAACAAACTTGCCCACTGCAAATCCTAATCCAAGTGATAAATTAAAGGTCAGTTTAAAAATGTAGCATTTTTCTAACCAATAATAATGAATTATCAATGCTAACTGGATTGATGCTTCTCGCTTCATTTAGCTTTAAAACCAGTTCTATCATTCAAGAAATAAACCACATCAATCTAATAACCCACCCAATGAAGCAGAAAGCACATTGACTTGCTCTGCCAGAGCATATTCCACCTACATAATTCAATTGAGCATATCCTATTTTTTAATATCGTGGACTGGGACTATATACATCACAGCACTGTTAAGGCATGTCATGAAATAGCAAAGGAATAGGAAACAAAAAATGAAAGAAGTGGATTCTAAGAGGCATTGTTGACATATTAGTTAATTTCATAATGTGGCATTCAACTGTTCTTATGTATTGTTTTAAACTCATATTAAAATAAATGGCTATTGCTAATAGAGAATCAGAAGAACAAGAGCAATTTCTCAATGTTATCGGGCAAACATTGGAAAAGAAGTCATATAAACCATTCATTTTAATGTCTGCAGTTTCAATTATAAAATAAACTATAACCTACATACACATGATTTATATGCAAAAAAAAAAAAAAAATCCTTACATAATTCCTTTCACTTCAGGTTTCAAACACCACAGAAAATCCCTTGACTTCAATATATGTGCCAAGCATTCTTTAAAACTCAGCACTAATGCTCCCTCATTGCCAAGAGCAGCTACTAAGACAGTTATCCTTTACTCCTCAAAAGTTACAGGTGCAGAAGTGCTTCTCTACTCTATGCTGGAATCGAACTGCCAAAAGGCCTCAAGATTTTTGAAAGAAAGGGCCCCCATGGCTACGAGAAGGCATTGTGTTCCTCAGCAGAGTCAAAGGAATCTAAAATATGCAACTTATTACTCAGTACAATATAGAAACTACTTATCACTTTCTAATGTCAAGAGTAATAACCAACCGTGAACTTGTCTGTCAGATAATATTAGAACAAATATCAAAACACCAAATGTAGGCTGAGTATAACCCACCTCCAAAAAACTTTGTTTTACCCAAGAAAGCAGTGATAAGTCTAATTAAGCAGTGGGGCAGAGGGAGGGGGGGAGAGGAAGGAAATATAGGCAAACGTAGGCACGTTTGTGCATTATATAATATGTTTCTTCATGTTTGTGATATTACAAGAGCTTGATATTCCAATTTAAGTCAAACAAGACGGTGGTGTACTGTCAGAGGAGAAAACAAAAATGAGCATCTACTCTGTATTAGGCATATCACGTTATCCAATCAAAATTGAAAAATCTACTTTTTAGTTTAGGAAGGGATGACAGGAAGAGGGAGGAAATAACAAGCAATGTTTCTTGTAAATAAAAACTGCTGAAATAAACAGATTTTTTAAATACTTCTGGTTTTCCTACATATAACATTTAATTACCTTATTCTCTTTTCCAAAAGAAAACACAGTTTGGATATGAAAAGTACCACTCTCCAAAAGAGAGGATGTTAAAACCCTGATTTAAACGTATTTTGAGGATTATATTTAGAGCAGAGTGTCCTTCAACATTAACTTTACTGGGAAAAACAGTCATTAACCAGTTATTCCAACCCCTCTTTCTCTCTAGAACCAGTGTCTTTGGCTAGGGTAATTTCTTTGCAGATTATTTTCCTGTTTTCTCCCCACTTTTTCTAGCCTACACAGCTCTTTCAGAGGATCTCAACTATGCTACATAAATCGGATCTTGGAGATGCAATGCAGTTGATGAAAATGTAAATGACCTCATTGCTAAGGCTGGGGGTGGGGAAGATGGTGTCAGCTCTCCAGATCAATTCCCAAGTTTATATTTTCACAAATCTTTTTATGTACAGTTTGATTTTTTAACATTTTAATGAGAAGAAAAAAAAAAGTGAATCTATAGTAGCCAGTCACCACAGTTAAAGTGCAGGGCATGAACCAGATCCCAGGAGGAAACCAGTCCTCCATGTCACCACTGGCTTTAGGACATTCGCCACCTGGTTCCATGTCCCCAGGTTCCAACTCTTTTCATAATCAAAACACTGCTGACATTATAAACCCCAGACGGGTTTCTAAAATCCCTCCCAATCAATATATCCAACACATAACTTATTGGAGGCAACACTGAGCTCATTGATTAAGGTGAGTTCAGTAGCAAAGTTTTCAAAATAAATGAGACAAGAAAACAGCAACCAACCTCTTTGTGTCACCAGACAATTTATGAAATAGGCAATTTCCAAAAGGGCTTTTCTTCCAAACAAAATTTCCAATACCTCAAAAGGGAAGAGGTGAGAGCAGAGGGGATTGGGGGGAAGTGGATGACAGGCAGTCGCACAAACCTCAGTGATGCATATATTAAACAGTAGACTGCACAATGTAGTAGAAAAGCAACAACATCTACAAAGCTCTGCCCACAAGGAGATACTGAGCTTCAGACAATGAATCAAAATATGCAATTAACACACCTAACACTGGATTCACTTGCAAATGAAAATCAGAAATGAATTCAAGACTCATCTCCATCTTTTTTAGGATTCATTTCATCCAATTTGAATTTTCAACCAGTCAGAAAGCCCATCGAGGAGATTTACCCCAATCTGGAAAAAGTAGATTGTGTCATGCTGACACTGGACCATTTCTCTTAAAAACCTGGGAAATCATTAATATGTATACTTTTCATCATAGAATCCTGTTTGAAAGCAAAACTTAGAAGACTGAACTCGATGTAGTTGACTGGAATTATAAGTAACAAGAAGGCTAACCCAATTCACTCTGAATTTGGGGTGCAGGGTAGGGAGAGTAAAGGAGATCCTGCAACAGCCTCCAGTTCAGATGTCAAACACTGTTTTTGTTGCTTCATTGAAATCCATAAATAAAAATTAGTTGTATTTGGCAGCTGAAAACAACTGACAGACACAGACATACACACCCCACAAATAAATGCCATCTGAAAGACAAAAGCACAGGCTGATTATAATGTCCACTGGGGTTACAGAATGTTGGGAGATGAGGCATGTTCTCAATAGTTCAAAAGGAAAAAGAAAATATGTGCAGGAAAACATTTAAATAAAGAAACGAGAGAGCATGAATAAATGAATGGATTTTCAAATATGTAAAGCTACAATCAGCCTCTTTGTAGCTTGCTGAAAGCTATATAGCAGTGGATAATTTACCTTTGTCCAAAAAGAGAGTAAAGAAGAGAGAGGCGGGAGACAGTGGGAGAACATTTCCTGAGTTTCCTACATCTAATTTATTTGTTCATTTCAAAATGTAGATGTGTGATGAAAAGATCAGTGGAACTCAAATTCCTAAAATACTCTATTTCTATGCTTAGACAATTTTTAATAGCATGAGGGAAGTGCTGACCCTCTAAGTCCTGCAATTGAGATCAGTGCAACTGACTTGAAAGAAAAGCCTCTGATTGATGATCTTAAAACTCAAGTTGAAAGTTAAAAACAGAACACATACAAAATCCAAACATACAAAAAGCTAACAAAATTTTAACTTTAAGCCATTTCAAGTTAAAACCAGGGATTCCAAGTGAAAGCTACCAGAGGTTTTAATGCTTGTGATTAAGAAGGGTAAAACAGAATGGTTAAGTTCTTAGAAGTTTAATTAGTACCAAGTTCAAGAATGTTGATCAAAAATTTCCTATTAAATATGAAAACAGGAAATATAATTTTTCTCCTTCCCTATATATGCCTAATTAAACCCAAGATCTATACATAGTTACAAACAAACTTTTATTTATTTTTTTCAGTGGGGGAAAAAAAAAAGCTTTGAATAAGGGATTTTACAAAAAGGCCTTTCTTTCAAC